CAAAACACAGCCCCAGAATGTAGCATCAGAAGAGCACCCATTTGCTCTGAACCTCAGCAGACCCTTCAATTTAATGCATTAAAAGACCAGAACTCTTGCCAGTTATTTGTAAAGTTGATGGTTTTTTTTGATTTTTTTTTTGGTTTTGTGGGTTTTTTCTTGTTTATTTGTTTGGTTGTTTTTTTTTTTGTTTTGTCATGTTGATGAATTAATACAGCTCAGAGACAAGCACTGGCCTTGCAAGTTAAATCAATGAGAAGGTGGAGTGAAGTTCAACTCGCCCATATTTCAAGAAACTCACTCATATGAGGGAGACACCGACCCCTCCCCACCCTTCCTCCCCACCCCCTGAAAACAATAGCCAATTGTTTCAATTTTAAATTTCTTTTTGTCCTTTCAGTGTTTTCCACTCTCTCACCACAAATTTCAAATCTTCTCAGTGGTTTCTCATCCTTCCACACATGCCAGGTTAATTTCCATCTCTGAAACAGCCTATGAAAAATGTACAAAAGCACAATTGCTGTTCTGTAAAATATGGGAATATGTCAAATCTGTCCTACCATCTCTTCAACTCTATTTCAACAGATTAAACTCATTAAGAATGGATCTAAATGTCCCCAATCCTGTATAAAAATAAGTGTTGAGCAGACATGACAATGTAATAATCCATATACTGACTGTCACTCCAGTGACAACTTCAAAGAACATGACAAATGTGCAACGTGTTGTCATCAGCCATTATTTAGCCCCTCTGACTGCATTGTGTGTTGTCATCAGAATTCACAAAGACCCTACTGGACAAAAAATCTTCATTAACTTGAAGGTTAAAAGTATTAATTTGGAAGTAATCTTCTGGATCAAAGATAAGATGGTTTATGGGCATCACACATTAAAAAGCACAAGCATATACCATTTCTTCACACAGGAAAGGTAAAAATTGCTTCTCTTATGGGTTTGAATGAGAATGAATTTTTCTCAGTATCAGTTAGTTATAAGAAACTGCACAAAGAAATGGCTACATCTTTACCTCTGTGCTTTCCTTCATTTAACAGTATTTAGCAATGAAAACTTACAAATAACTCAATTATCTCATTGGTTATTGGATAACAACATTATCTGATATTTAGCATTAGATTAACAATAGCTACAGAAATCTGTCCAGGGTATTCTGGTCCAAAAATATATTTCTCTTACCTAAGTCTCAGCATCACTCAGAGGTGTGTATCAGAGGTGTGGGAAATCCCACATTTCTAACACGAAATTGTTTAGGATTTCTGAAATAGATCTAAACCAGAATCTTAGAAATCAGAGCAAAACTGACAGCATGCTGTCGCACTGTAAAGACCTTTAGCTTTCCATCTCCACAAGGAATAAAGAACAGAACAGCTGAGACATTTTATAGAGTACTGGGTACGTTGTTTATGTGTTGTGATTTCTTTGTTAGATACAAGAAAGTCAGGAACTTCAGATTGAAAGATACAGCCCTTGTCACAGTGTCTACTTATCAGCTGTCACAGGCAACAAGATCAGCAAAGAAATCCTCATAACAAAGTAATTTCATCTCAGAAATAATTGTTTTATTTTCACCAGTCTTAGCAAAAGTTATCATTGGACATCCCTGTTCTGGAAGGTAAAAGACCTCCCAGTTATCAGCATTTAATACATCCTGTGTTCTACCCAATTGTTCTTGTACCAGTTTTGGCCTTTAGTTCAAACAATCCTTTTAGTTCAAAAAATCCTTTCTGCTGTTTCTGTTTCACAACTAGAGAATGCAAGCATACACCTCTGAACCTTTTTTGAAAAACCTCACAAATTTAGGTGAATTTGGATAGTTCTCCTTTCTTCTGATTCTAACAAATTTCTGTTAGTTTTTTTCTCTTGCTATTCCAGTCTGAATATCTTATCTTTCCTGGAAACAGCTGGTGAGAGTTGTATTTCAGGCCTTGTTGTGAGCCTGGAGAAGGGCATTAATATTTCCCTCTTTCCCCTGGAAAGGCAAAGCCTTACACGTATTCCAGCTGTGTGTGCTTCTCACGCAGCTTCAGCCTAATAACAGCCCGCAGTAATCCTGGGAGCTTTGCCTCTCTTGTTTCCTAACTGACAGAAGTGCTTCCTATTTATATCAGAATATTGGTAAAAAAAAATTCTATGGGTTTGTGCAATTGTGTGTTAAAACATTTCTGATGCTCTGGTCCCTCCTCTTTTTTTTATCTGTTCTTTCTCTTTGAGAGCCTTGTGCTGCTGCACATCAGCCACATATCCCCTGCGGGTGTCACTGGGAATGCTGTTGACACAGTCCTACACTTAGCCCCAGGGAAAATATGATATCTGCTAGCCCCAAATCATTCCCTGAAAATTCCACATTAACTGATTTTCTCCTGAAAATCTTTTCAGGAAGCTTGTTTTTTATATCAATATTTCCTAGTACTCTTCATGCTTTAACTATTTTCTTTTCATGTTGTAATTCATCTGCTCATTAAATTGTTCTTTAGTTTATTTAATGACTTCCACAATGATAACATATAAAATATTCTAACATAAAAACTAGTTCTCTGCAGAGGTTTTAATAGTTTTCTGCAAGTGACTCTAAATGTAGTTGCAATTGTACCTTCTCCAGCTGAAGAATGCAGAAAATTCTACCTACTTATCATCTATTGTAAGAAATGCTGTTTTACCACTGGCTATTAGTTACCTTATTAAAAGCAAGTTAATTTGAAAAGAAGAACTTACAGGTAATTGAAATTTTGATTTACTTTTCAGTAGCCTACTGTTCTAAAGAATATGTAGTATAATATATATATAATATATATATACAATAACCCCAGTATAATGGGGTTGTCTGGATTGTGTTTTCCTCCTTCCTACAAGGTCAGTTGTTATTGCAGCAGCTACTCCACCCAGCTCAGTGGGTTTGCATAAAATACTTGTCTAGAACTGTGGGTCTAAGGACCAGTTTTCTAGGTTGTTGGGATGAAGATTACTTGATTCTCCAGGCTGACACTGAAACCTTGCAGGATTTTCTTCACCATTTGTCTTTTTAATCAAATAGTAACAGATCTCAATTCTCTCTATTACTCCCTAGGGATAAAAGTCATTCACAAAAGAAGAGCCAGCAAAAGTCATCAATTTAGAAATTTTTAAATTAAATCTCACTGCATAGGCATATATTACATACAAGGTTCACCAGGACTTTCTCATATTTTCTCCCAATGAATTGCAGATAATATAATTTTAATTTACACTTAAAAATGTCTGTCCCTAGCTGGTAGACTTGCCAATGAAATTGGGGAACTGAAATTCCAAGGTCTTTTCTTTATCATTTTTTACCATCCGTAAAGCATTTCTACTAGAAATAACTTTCTGCTTTATTAGAGAGATAATCTAACTTCTTGGTCTCTTAAAAGAATTGTCTCTGTAAAGTAAAAAAAAAGTAAAATGTAGGCATGAGAAAATGTGCTCAATAAAGAGAGGACACAACTCAAAAGCAGAACCATTGAGTACAGTCAGATCTGTTCAGTGGAAGGTGAGAATTTGACACGATTGTTTTTCAAAATGTAGCTAAAAGTCAAATCTGAGGTTTGTGTCTGTCTTTTGTGGTGTTGGTAAATACCACATTAACTTTTTAACACACTATTTCCAAATTCTTTTCCTGAGTATAAATGTTCATGCCCATAAATTTGAATGCTTGTAATTTTCTCAAGCAAATATGGTTTAAATTATATTCTTTTTATTTCAAGACATTGTCTATGTCCTTTCCCTCTGCCTCTCATTTTCATTTAAGTTAGACAAAGGCTTTTCACCAGGGAAAAATAATAATCTTTGTTCCTTGTTAGTTTCCTTCTATTCTATTATTTTAGAGACACTATAACTAATTTTTCCCCTTTCTATTCATACATTTAAAAAGTCATATTGCCATTATGTTTACTTCAGATGTACTGTTTTCATATTATGAGCTACAGAGTTCTTGACTGCACCAGAACTAAATTTCCATTATTTTCAAGGGAAGTTTACTAAAACTCTGTGGCTCACAGGCACTTAGTCCTCAGATGGCCTTTGGAAATTTTTCCTATGAAAGCACATTATGTAGAGGTGGAGTGAATCCAGTCCTTGCAGAGGGTGATGAGTATTCACTTTGTGCACCATATTTCTTTATGCAAACTTTGCACCACAGATAAAAGCCACTTTTTACACGCTTATGCATTTGGAGTTTTCTGGACTTAGGCATCAGCATTTTGAGTTTTTTTTGCCTACACAGGAAAAAACCCCTTTGTTAAAATTAAGATATTAGAATGTATTTTCTTGCATAAAGGATGGTTGAGTCAGATTTTATGACCCCCACAAAAACCAGCAACATCAGCAATTTTACTTTCTCAGCACGCAACAAAAATATCTTGAGGTTATAATTCCTGCCTTGTGAGAATCCTCAGCAGGCACTAAGGCCTTGCTTCCAGAAGTAAGATGATGCTGGAAAACAGCAATGAGTTCTAGGAAGCTGCTGTAAATTGTCAAAAGTGAGATAAAGCTCTGTTATTAAAATAGTCTGGGGCAGAAATGCAGTTTTCAAAGGAGGAAAAGCAGTATTTCAACTGATCTTTAAAGAATTCTCTAAAACATTATGATCCCTCACTATTACCACAACTTATAAAGTTGGCAGATTAGTCTAGCTTTTATGAGTGCTAGAGGGAAAATTGCTCCCAATTCTAAGGGAAACCCAGGAAGAAGGCATGAATTTTGACTTCCTTGAAATGTTTGAAGTCAGTCATGCACTTCAGGACTTTCTTACAGCAGAAAAGGGTAAGCAGGCATAAATTACTGCTATGTATAGTCATGATTTAACTATTTTTCTAATGAAAATTAAGCCTCAGTGACTAAAGGGAACATGAAAAACTTGCTATTATTGTCCTTGCTGAGCAATTCTTTAGTGCAGTCATCCTTTATTTTTTCAGCAATAAATCTAGTTGAAAAATGTATTTCATTTCATATGTTATTATTGTGGATACAATGARGTTATTTCCAACTAAGCCTGTTGAACAGATAATCCCAATCAGAGAAGGAAGGATGATTGTCTCTGCAGCACTGATCACCTGGCAATGGTGCCATCCACTCCAAGATCTGTTAATCAAGCCTGGTGCACCATTTTGACAAAAATTCTCTCATTCTTCAGTGATTTTAGGACTTGATTCTGTAGTACCAAGAGAAATTAATTATTCATGGATAATAATTTGAATAACAATATCAGAGTCTCATATCAAARTAAATACTACTCTTTAATGATTATCTAAGTTTCATAAAAAAWTTTTCACTGAAAGATTTTGTACATCCAGTATTGTACTTGAAASAACAGGATGATGTTATTTTCAAAATTAAATCCATGATGTGATAACACCATTACAGTTAAAAAAAAAAATTATCATCCAAGATACACCTTTCAGTAAAAGTGTTTATTCTCAGAAAGTGCACTGTCAGCTTCTCTTGGCTGGGGTGATCCAAATCAATCCTCCAATCAAGYCCTCTAATCAAATCCTCCTTCATCTTAAGATCATTGGTCCTTGTCCCAACACTACGTGTCCTTGAGAAAAATCCCTCTCCAGCCCCCTTTAGGTGCTAGAAGGGTGCTATAAAGTCTCCCCACACCTCTTCTCCAGGCTGAACAGTCTCACTCTCATCCTGTCCCTATAGGAGAGGTGCTCCAGYCCTTTGATCAACTTAGTGGCTCTTTGGTCTTTTCCCAGCAGGTTCCAAGGTCTTTCCTGTGTTTGGAGCCCCAGAGCTGTACACAGACCTTCAGATGGGGTCACACAAGAGCAGAGGAAAGCAGCAGAATCACCTCCCTCCACCTGCTGGCCATGCTCCTTTTGATGGAGCCCARGGTGCAGTTGGCTTTCTRGGCTGCAAGTACATGAATTGCTGGGTCATGCTGAGCTTTTTGTCCACAAACACCCGCAAGTCCTTCTCTCCAGGACAGCTCTCTATCTCTGCCCAGCCTGTACTCGTGCTTGGGATTGCCTAGACCCAGGGGCAGGACCTTGCACTTGGCCTTGTTGGACTTCATGAGGTTCATCACTAAACTCTAAATTTGCAAAAGCTGAGAAATATCTTTCACTTTTGTTGATGTAGAAATAAAGGTGGAAAAGCATTAACTGGCTATTTTTCTAAGGTTATTGAAACCTTATGCAAAGATTTCACTGTGAAAGCTCCTTAAAATTCTGCCTACAAGTTTTTATAAAATAAGTGCGTTCTGAGCACATAGTCATCTTCCTCACAAACAAATCTTTTATCCTGTGTCATAAACCAGTTCAAATAGGCATGCTGGGATCCTGGTGATGCTGGGATGCTTTTGTGCTAGCAAGAGTGTCCTGTCCATGTTTCTGTCTCCCTCTGAGAATTTGCAGCCTGTTTGCTGCGTGCAGCACACCATATGTAACCCCTCAGCTTATTGTTTAAGGAGTCAAAATAAAGAGCAGCTGTGAAATGAGTAATTTTAATTTGCTGACACAAGTGTGAGAGAAATAGCAATTTACCTGTRTATCAGCTGTACCCTTCTTGCAAGAGATGAAGTTTTGTTTTTTTATTTCTAGGAAGAAATTAAATGAAATTAATAAAATCAATTAAAAAAATATATTGAATTGCTCATAAACAGGGCAGATTGCAACCAGAGAGAAGTGGGAGTGTGTGTGAGAAACATCTCTGCAGGCACTAAGGTCAGTGGACAAAGAGGAGGAGGAGGTGCAAAGACTCCCCTGCAGATCATGGTGCAGATCACGGTGCAGAAAATGGGGCAGACCATGGTGAGGAAGGTGTCCCCTTGCAGCCCACGTTGGCCTGTGGGAGGAGCCAATTTCCACGACAGAAGAGTGTGATGGGTCCTCCCTTGAGGAGGAAGGAGCAGCARAGACAACTTKATGAACTGRMTGCAASTCCTCTTTCCCSCTGAGATGCTGCARGGAGGAGGTAGAGACTCTGGAAAAAGAGGAGCCCAGGAATGAGAAGGGGTGGGAAAAGGTGTTTTTGAGATTTGTTTTACTTCTYATTGTSCCASTGATTTGATTAGCAATKAATTCAATTACTGTTCCCCAAGTTGAGCCAGTTTTACCCATTGTGTGTCCTATCTCTACGCACAAACCTTTCATTGTTATATTCTCTCCCCTCTGTCCAGCTGAGGAGGAAGTGATAAGGTGGCTTTGGGAGTTCAGCCAACATCAACCCTCCACAATTCTATATTTTGCTTTCCCACTGCACTGCATTTTCCTTTTTCAATGCCCTTACTGTACCACCAGGTCTTCACCCCTACAAAACCGATGTGATGGACAAAACTTCAATACCAGGTGATAGACAAGTGATGTCACATTTCCTTGTAAAGCATAATCTTCTTTGTTCTTTCTGTGTGATGCACTGCCTACAATCAGGAGAGGTATGAAACCTTCTGGCTGTTCCTGCTTTACTCACAACAGATCCTTTTTTCTTTCCTTGAATTCCCATGTAGGGTTAGAGACAAGTGCARTTAATCTGGGTTTACACTTTTCACAAGTACACATCTAAGAGAAAAAGTGTAACTTTCCACATGACTATTTAAATTTTCATRTTCTTAATRAGGCTTCCATCCTAAATAAGAACCTTGAATTAACAAACCACACTGGTGTAGATAAATATCTACCCTTTTGATAGATCCCTTTCTTTGGGGAGGTGGGTCAGGGGGTGGGGTAGAGATGGACTATAATGACAGAAACCTAGAAAATACTGAAAATTTTGCTCAATATATGACATTTTCATTAAGCTACTGTATTTTAATGACATCGTAGCTGAAGTTTTGTTTGGAGATTTCTGTGTTAGACAAATGAAAATTCAATAAAAGAAATACTTTCACAGACTTTTTTTTCTGTGAAAACTCTAGCCAGTCCTTTGCTGGTACTATAAGCAGGTACTTATTGGATCTGAGTTAAACTATTATTGCAGATATGTATCTTCACTAGTTATGACTTGACTTCATAAGAGTCTGATATCAAAGTGCAAGAAAGAAAGGCAAAGTACCAGAAAAAAAAGAGTATTCAAACAAAATAGCCCTGCCTAATTTTTACCCCTTATGTTAATGTTTGGTGGCTATTCTGCAAAGCAGCTTTTAAAAATCCCCTCTATATTTAATTTTTACTCACTTTCTCCCACAAATTAAAGATATTTGTGAGGATAATGTGAGGCAATGAATGACTAGAAAAAAAATATTTTTGTCTCTTTCCAATGAGTAGAAAATATAGGAAAGTTGTATTTTTTTCAACAAGTTGAATTACAGACTTGAAACATAGCTTTCATATCACACAAATATCTCCTTACTCTTTTTATTTGCTTCTTTCTATAGTCACTATCCAAAGCACTTTGTCTTAAATAATGCCACAATTTTTCTCTCTCCAGGGTTGGAGAGGTAGACTCTTACCATTCCTCCAGGAAACTAAACTTCTTCAGCGCTGTCTGAAGTCACAGGCACACCTTTCCACTAAAGGCAAACATCAATCCAAAAGCAGTCTGTTTTCTTTTTGTCATTAAAACAAAACAAACAAAACAACAGGCCAAACCAAACGAACAAAAAACAAAGGGGAAAAACCCTCAAGGCTGATAGCACTCAGAGCACAAAAATCCAGAAAAATTCAGAATACTGCAGCGTTCCGTCTTGCGCTCCACCTGCCGCTCCTGCCCTTCTGTCCCCGGGCGCTCCCTGCTCCTGCCGCACGCTCCCTCCGGAGCTCTCCCCCGCCTGCCCGGGGGTCCCGGCCGCTTTGATCCCCCAAAATCTGCCCCGGGTGGAGGGGAATTGCTGCCCCCGGGACTCGGAGTGAGAGCTCACCTGCCGCCGGCTCCGCTCCCGGTCCCCTCTGCTCCCGGAGCGGCCGCTGTGAGCGGCGACATTCGGCGGAGCGGGAGGGAGAAGAGCGGCACACCCAGAGCACAGCCTGCTCTGAGCCCATCCCTGAACGCAAAAATGTTGGTGCAAACCCCCAGAACACCCTGGAGGAAAAACAAACAAAAAATAAACAAACCAACCAATCAAGTCCCACTCTATGTGAGAAGATAAAAAATGACAGAAAATGATGACGCCTGTTTTACTGCGCACTCCGAGTTCCACACCTCTTACATCTTCGCAGTTAGACAGTCCCCCCTGAAACTTCAGGGAATCTTTCTTACAAAATAGGAAAGAACAGAGGGAAGTGGCAATTATCTGCTTAACATCCCAATAATTTCAAAGAACCCTGGGAGCTGCTGGAGTGTATTGAAGTAGACATGACTGCACACCTCTGATTCAGGCTTTTCAAATGATGACATCTGTTTCTGGTTCTGATACGCAAGATCGTTTCTTAAATTTTTTATTATTTTTTTTTTTAATTCCTCCTCTTATGTAACTACAGGAACACATGCTTTGTTTTAACTGTAAGGTTAGACCATTTTTTATGATAGCAAATTTTCATAAATAAATACCTGAATAGAAAACTTTTAAGCCAAGAAACTACCTTTCACACTGAATCTTTGTCAAAATATTTCAAATTTGATGGAAATTTATTTTTTTATTTGAAACATTTCTGTTTTTTCTCATTTCAAAGAGGCATCTCAGTTGAATAAATTTGAAGTCAATATTACCATTTCAGCTCCTGGAAATAGGAAAAAAAATATTAGACCAAAATTCTGAAATATCTTTAAAAAAACCCTATATCTTCTCAGAGAATTGCAGCACACACAAGAATATGAGAAACGTGAACTGTTTTTAGTAGAGTGAACACATGAGAAAGGTTGCTAGGAAAAACATAATCAATTTGTGAAAAGCATTCTGCATCCAAAGGAAAGAGAAAACCTCAGTGGTGCATTTCTCAGTGACACACCCCTTCCCAGCCCTGTGCTCTGCAATAGAATGTTTCTCAGCCTGCTGCCAGCTGCCTTCCCTTCCCTGTGGTTGAACCTGCCCTGTCACCTCTGATGTCCCTGATATTCCTGCTAGAGGTTCCTAACTCCTCAGATGTGCCAATATAACTGCAAGTTTCGTTCATCCCGTATGTTACAAGATCAGGGTTAGAAAATTTTGCCAACAGAAGAATTTAAATGAATGTCTGTCACTCCAATAAAGCAAGCTGATACTTGACAGGAGTAATTAAACACGTAACACTTGCCGATCTGACAGAAAAGTGATCTCTGGTAGGAGGGAGGTGATGGGCAGTGAGAATGGTAACTGCTCCAACAGAAATGATCGTGGTACTTTCTCCTTCATGAGCACTGGAAGGAAAAAAATTSAGAGTCCTCTGTGAAGAGAAGTCCAAATAAACTGAACAAATGTAATCAGTCAGCCAAAGACAAGGACTTGAATCGTATTTAGGGAGTGGAGGTGTATTTTTTCCCCATTACTATTATTATTATTGTTATTTTTATTGTTATTATTGCTATTATTATTGCTATTATTATAATTTAATTATTATTAATATTTGTTGTTATTATTATATTTCACTTTTTTACCTAATGCAAATTTTACTTTTGATTCTCCTTCCCATTTCAGTGGGGTGGGAGAGGATGAGGTTCAGTGAGTGGCTGTGTTGTCAGCTGGGCTTAAATAATGACATCACAATAAAATTTAAGTGAAAATCTGAAGAGTGAATTAGAGAAAAATCACAGTGGAAATAAGACATCACCTTTAAGATAAAAACTGATGGTTATCTGTCATTAAAACAACTCACCAGGTTGAAAGGCAGGTTCTGCAATACTGAAAGGATTCTTAGAGCAGTTCAAGTATTTTTTCTGCAATATATATTCTTGCTTGAAAGGGTATTAATTGCAAATTGTGTATTTTACAATATTTTTCAGGATGACAGACAACTTCTCACAGTTTCTGCACTAGATTTCTAATCCATGAGAAATCTAATGCAGCAATTAGGAAGTGTGATACTTGTACCTCTGGATGAAGTTTGGATATGGATTGACAGGTTTTGACTTTGCTGATAGTATCAGAATGGAAATCCTTTCCATTATTTAATCATTTCTGATGCCAAGTACCTTAAAGCAAGTAAGATAGCAAAATATTAAAGTACCTACTGAGAGGTGAATTGAGGCCAAGCTACCAGAAAATTTCTATGCCTCAGTGAATGTTATCACTGCTTTAGTCTTCTCCAGACATGGTATAACTAGAGCAATTCAAAAAGATTTTTTTTCCTTTCAAAAGAAAAACTTAAATTTCTACCAAATTTCTGCAAGGTGAAATTAATATCTGCCAGTCTGTAAAGGTAATAATCACACTGGTCATCATAGACTGTGATAAAGCTGAAAATCTGGCCGTTTTTGGCTGTGAAAGGTTTTATTTGTTTGTCTTAATCATTATGTGTCCATACACCACTTCATTTCTTTCTATTTTTAATATTTAATAGAGAAAATTTCCAGATRTTACTGATCTGTAACAGTTTGYTCATAATTRCTKACAYTGYGTAAGTTACCAAACCCTTCACTGWTCTGAGCTGCACACAAAATGTYGTATCAGATGGTTGSTCTGGGATAAGCAGGSAAAGAGTGGCTTTCAGACGACTCAAGGAAAGCTTACCTGGAACACAGCAATGAGAGGTKTAAGTATTGTGAATTAAGATTTAATTGAAACAGTGACTGGCATTATGGACCCTCTGTGTACTCATTCTTTTTTTTTGCTCTCCTTTTGGCACAGTGAATTTGAATTATTTCATGAGAAATGGAAGGGCACAAGGAGGAGATGGTAGAGTTTCTACCTCAGGGCGCCCACATGGTTGGAGCACATTTATCACAAACACCTTTGGGCAGTACAAATTAATTTATTCCAAATTTACTAGATCCAGAAAGATGATCACARCAGTAATTTTGTGATCATGCCTTCTGAGAAAGGCAAATAAACCAGAAATTATTGCAGAAATGGGGTGGAGGGAGAGGAATGGATGACACCAGAGATGTGTTTTCTGGTTGGAGAATATTGTCTCCCTCCCACAGACACTGGGATCCTCATTCCCTTGGACAATGAGATGACAAACCCTTCTCTTTAGCATTTCTGGCTTCTGCATTTTCTGGATTTTGGCACAGATCTTTTCTTATGTGTTGCATGTAAATCTTATACAATAAGGTTGTGACTTTTTGTGAATAATTAATTTTTCTGAATGCATTAACCTGAGAAATTACTAAGAAGAAAGTCAATTAGAAAAAAAAAAAAAGGAGCAAGAGAGAATGAACCCCAGTTTCACTGAGAATTGTCTTGATGGCTGAAGTTCAGCTTCATTTTTCTTCTTTCTCTGAGGTTATCTATCAGTATAATGATTTCACAGTCCATAGTAATTTGTGCCTCTTGTTATAATAATTTTCCTTTCCTCATGGTAGTTCCTCTTAAAACAAACT